GGAATGCTCAAAACCTCTGAAATACTGGATTTAATTCTCTGCAGTGATTTTCATGGCATCTTGATATGTACTTTACATCTCCCAGTCTCAGTTACTTATTTATATAATCTCTGTAAAATAATGTATATTTATGTACACTCTATTGTTTATACAATAATATTTCTGTCTCCATAACCACCTCTTTCCACAAGATGAAGCCAGACATAGAAGCTAATTGGGTGTCATAGTCTATAGATAACAACTGATCTCAGCTGAGTTGCCGTAAGTTCAGCTTTCCCTTATATCTTCTTTCTCTACAAAAGAGAGTGATCATCCAGGATTGCCTTGTTCTCTTTAAATCCTTTTCCAATTTTTCCTCTGTATCAAAATCCCAGAAGGCCTAAAGGGAAGGTGTATTTCCTTCTTTAAAACCTTCAAATGACTTGCACTGGTCTGAATTATCCTTCCATGGTTTATAGAGCTCTGTCCTGAGTCTATACCAGGTGCTGCCTTTGAAAATAGCTTGAGACTTCCTCACACTTCTTTGAGGGTTAAATTCTGTTTAGCTCCTGCCTGCCTGCGAAGTCATCAGTAATGTTCACAACTTCAGTGCAGATTTCCAGTGAGGTCACACACTACATTAATGCTACACAACCAGTTCCTTTTACAGGCCTCTTGGCAACTAAAATAATAACAGTTACACATAGTGTACAAGCAATAACTAACTTACCATTACAGCAGCACTGCAAGTAGGTAGGTCATTATTATTAGTTTCTCTATTTTATATGGGGATAAGCTGGTAGAGGAAGTAAATTTGCAAGTCACAGTCGCTAAGTAAGTCATTGGCCAGAGCCAAGATTTGAATTCAAAAGTTCCCGTCTTTCAATTCTGTGTTCTTTTTTTCAGTCTACAATGCCTAGGTAAAGCAAAGTTACAGACTATATGCACTTGAAATGTATTGTGGATGTATAATCTGTATGTGACTCTGCCCATGTGCTAGATTTCTGTATACAGCTCTAAAGGGGATGCTTTCTTTTTTTTTCTTTAATATCGAGTTCCACAATGCAGAGTTGTTTGATATTTTTAAATAATACAGTTTAAGAACCCAAATCTGGCACCTTTTCTTGTTATCAGTGGCACTCTCCACACGACTCTCTTTTATTCCTGTTTTCCAAGAACAGCATCAGTGCCATGTATGTGGTCTGATTGAAAATGCAGGACTAATTATTACTGAACAGTAAGTTACCTGCAATCTCAAAAGTGCTATTTTCCCTTTATGGGTAAGTTCAGTGGCTCACAATCCATATGGACAGAACATGCTCCACACACTTAGTGCAAATATAAGTGTTTCTTAAGACTTTGTATATTTAACATTAGTATGTGATCATATCTGCAACAATGTGGGTGCATATACACATGAAATTAATTTGATACAATAAACTCCGGCATAGTTTGTGCTGGAGTTTATTAGTCCCAGGCACATATGCTCCCAGGACTGCAGTATGTTGAGCCATGGTAGAGCAGCCCCAGCTGATGGGGCCCCGGTGGGGTTAGCTTGTAAACCTGGGGCTGCTCCAACCCGTCTCAACGTACTGTGAAGAGGCTGGCTAGGGCACAAGGGTGCTTCAGTGAGGGGCTAGCCAGTAGACAGCCCTTCACTGGTATACCTTCATGCCCTAGCCAGCCCTGGTCAGCATCTACACATGCATTGCAGTGGAGTAAATAACTCCCCCATAGGATAGTTTTTGTGTTTGGTAGTACTATCCTACAGTGGAGTTAATTAGTTTACTCCGGCCTAATAGCACTGCATATGTGGACCCTGATGCTTTACTGAGGAGTGAATTACTCCACTCTGCAGTAAATGTCTTGTATAGATGTGACCTGTTATTGTCAAAATAAGAATGGTTTGCATCTAAGCTTCAGAAAACTATAAGAGTCAGAGATAGGAACAGATGGTTTTTCCTTTGAATGAGCTTGAGCTGGATTATTTAGGTTGCAAAAGCAAAAAAGTAAAAGTAAACTTTGATGACTCCCCCCTCCCCAAATGTCCAGTCTCTGTTCCCAGCACTATTCCACAAAATACCTAACCTGGATTTCTTAATGCAATGTTTCAAGGTCTTCTGCAAGAAACAGTATTGCAAAGGAATATGTCAGTAAACATAAATAAGTAAGAGGTGTGTATCTATCCCTGTAATCTAACTAAACCATAACTAAGTCAAATTTCAAACTCCTATGTCCTAGGAAGTTGTATTCTGCATCTTAGTGTAATGTGAAATATCGTTTTTTGGTTTTACAGATTCGAAATGTGGCAGCCAATCTCTGTGTTGACAGTAAACATGGGGCCACAGGGACTGAACTAAGATTAGATGTCTGTGTGAAGGATGGCTCAGAACGGACGTGGTCGCATGAACAGGTATTTTAATAGTGAAAGAAGAAAAGAACTGTAAAATTATTGATTCTCTCTTCCAAATATTAAAGACTTTTCTCCTCTTTGTAAGACATTAAGCAAGGTGTGGAATATATTTTTATTGTGCTGTTAACTGTAATAACTTTTACAAAACAAACATTAATATAGCCTTAGAAATTCCACTACGTGTCTTTAATAGTTTTTCCTATCTTCTTTTATAAAAAAAAAAGTTGTTACACCTCAAATACTCTTAGAGCCTCCTTTATTCCTTTGTTTAAATTAGTTCCTAGCATTTTGTAACATGTCCATCTTTGACATGAAGTGTCAACATTTTCGAAATAACAAAGGAGTCTGTCTCCTCCATACCCCTTCCACCTAACAGCCATAATGACAAGATGAACCAAAAGGGCTTGAGAAAGTAGATTTAAAAAGAACTCAAATCAAGAGGTAAGAATGCTGATCTCAGCAGCTATATGGGCTTCTAGTACAAGCCACATGGACTAATATCCAAGGAAGCTAGAAAGAAGGAGATTGTAATCAAGACAAGAAGTGATGAGACCTTACCTAAATATTTTGGCCATGTGAATCGACAAATATTAGAAACATGGAGGAATATGAAGCTAGGTTTGTATACAGGCTTGACCAGTAGGTCATAGAAAAGGAGTGAAGATGATTTACAGGTTATGGGTTTGGGTAATGTAGAGAGGATAAAGAAATAGGACAGTACATTGGCTTTAGGATTGGGGTTTCCTATTATTTTATCCATGTTTAATTGAAACAATGAGATATCAGAGACTGGCTAAAATGCCCAGTTTTGTGCCGAGGGCTGGTGCCCTATTTGTTCCCTCCCAGTTACACTACTAAACCTATGTTTCCCAGAGAATCTGAGTTATTCCTATGTGACTGACACAAAATCATATGCACATTCATACAACAGAATATTTTTTTAGAACAGTACAAGATAGCATTTCCTTCAAGCCTTAATCACTTAGGTTTTTCCCTGTCTGCTGAGTTGCTTTAAAAAAAGGCTAGTTCCAGCACAGGTATTTCATATATGTTGTGTCTGAGGAGGTGAAAAATTATGTAAATACAGGCAAAAAATTAGATTTAGGATCACTTTTATTACTTTCTGAGTTACAACCTAGGCTAGTGAGGAGCGCTGATCAGTTTTGGTGGGAGCTGATCATCTTCAGTACTCATGAACCAGTACTCATCAGCACTGGTTGTTGAGGGTGGTGGTAAGCACGTCCCTGAATCAGTCCCTTAGTTTTGTTTCTAATTATAGACATCACTCCCTGCATTTCACCACAGTCTGAAACTGGAATATGTAGTTCAATAAAACTATCAGCAGAGGGCAGCTCCAGACAAGCAGTGTACCATGTTGGGAGAGGAAAGATAAAAAGGTTAATGAATGTTTAACTGTGAGAGATTTTCAGTTCTGAAAGCCAGTAAAAATGCAGATTCATCTGCACTGACATAAGGAGAAGTTCATCATTTTTAAAATTTAGATGAAAAGTAAACTGATTTTAACTTCAAAATATCACAGTCTGTTTTATCCTGGAAAAAGAAACAGGAGGCTTCTTTTCAATGTTACAAGAAATTACACTGTATCCAGAAGTTACACTTCCGACTTTGAGGAGCAATTGGGATTAGTTTATCCAGCTCTCAGTGTGAATTCTAAAAATACTGAGAAATGTTTCCAAGTACAGATGCTGTAAGAATTATTGCCCCCAGAAGAAAAATAGATTGGCAAAAATGTACACACATTTCCTTCTGAAAAGGGATTAATTTTTTTAAACTGAAAAACTCTGAAACTGAAAGGCAAAAAGATTGCAAAAGTATTTGTAGTGAGAAGATTCAGAGTATCTTCCCTAATATATAATGTCTATCATGCCACTGATGAAGAGATTGTTAATTTGATTACTTTTTAAGATACCTAATATTTACTTGGATTATTTTATGGCAAAATGAAGGATAGATAAAAAGAAGCATGTTTGGATGTTCAGATTTTCATATCAGGACTCAGAGTTTCTGAGCCCTGATGTGAAAGTCGTGCACCCTGCTGATAGGATCAAAAGGTGTGATTGTTGCCATGGTAGGAATCATTTTACTCAGCATTTTAAGGCTTCCAGTTAAAGTACGAAGGAAAGAACCAGAGAGTTCTTTCTCTAAAATCTCTCCGAAACCAATCGGTACTCTCTGAATCGATTTGGACAGATTCAGAAAGATTCAGAGATTCAGACATAGACACAGCTTTAAATATTTTTTCTACATACCTCTAGGTAGCAGGCGGCTCGTGAATGCTGTGATGCTGGGGTGCATGGAGTATCCCACAGAAGCAGGGGGATGCTCCCCAGCACGCTTGGCAGCAGACCTGGAAGAGGACCAGAAACACTTTCAGTCCACCTCCAGGTCCGCCTGGGAGCATGCTGTCCCCCCCCACCTTCCGTGCTCCCCCAGCTCGGCAACTGGTGCCTCTGGGCCTAGGGGAGGGCATCCAGGGTCCCTGCCATGGCAGATCGCCAAGCCAGGAGGAGGCATAGGAAGGCCCTCCAGCACGCTCCCCGGCAGACCCAGAAATAGCCCAGAAGTACTTCCGGCCCACTTCCAGGTTCACCACCAAGCACATGCAGGGCCCCCACCCCACCCCCGCACTCCTGTGGGATGCTTCATGCACCCCAGCATTGCAGCATTCACAAGCCACGCTGGTACCTCAAAGTATGTAAAAAAAAACAAAAAACATTTACATCTGTGTCTGTGTCCGAGTCACTGATTCTCCAAATCAGCATCGAATCTTCAGATTAAGATCTGGCTGAATTGAATCAGGGACAGTGATCTGAATCAACAAATTGAATAACTGTCCCTGATTCAGGCCAAATCCAAATCAAATAGGGCCTGCTTTGCGCACCCTAGTGATTATCACTTTGCCACTGAGAATTGTCAGAAAGCCATGAAGATGCTAAAGCCCTTGACTTCAGAAGGGCCAACTTCAATGAGTTTAGGAGACTAGTGGGGGAGGCATGAAGGGCCCAGAAGGTAGAGGAGACGGGAGCCCATGAGGGATGGTCGTACCTTAAGGGGGCGATCCTCCAGGCCCAAAGGATAACAGTCCCTGAGAGAAGCAAGGGGGGTAAGAGTGCTCAGAAACCCCCTTGGCTCAGCAAGGGCATTCAGCAATGCCTGAGGACTAAAAAGAAGGCGTACAACCAGTGGAAGGGAGGAACTATCACCAAGGAGGAGTACTCCTCCTCGGCCCAGTAGTGTAGGAGGGCTATTAGGAAGGCCAAGGCAGAGATGGAACTCAGGCTAGTGTCCAGGATTAAGGACAACAAAAAGTCCTTTTTCAAGTACATTGGGAGCAAGAAGAGGGCACCAGGCAATGTAGGGCCCCTGCAAGACACAAATGGTAATCTGGTGGCCACGCCAGACAAGAAAGCTGATATTTTTAACAGTTTCTCTGCCTCTGTTTTCCTGAACAGGAACCGGGATATCCCACCTACCAGAGGTAGGGACAATCTTGGGGATAGCTCTGTCAAGCCTTTAGCCAGTGCAGATGCAGTGTGGGATCTTCTGGAAGGGCTAGATATTTTTAAATCTGCAGGTCCAGATGCCCTCCACCCAAGGGTGTTGAGGGAGCTGGCAGGGATCATCACAG